AAATTTTGGTAATAGAGCTCCACGATCTAATCAATCGAAACTTCTACCGACACCAAACATTAACCCAAGTAATTCACATTATAATTCTTTACCCTCTTTGTAGAACATCCTCTTCCAAACCCACCTAACAACACTCATACCATGATCACTCGCACTAAAAGTAAAATTCATGAACCCATCCAAAAACTTATTTTTACTGCTACTATCACCTCAAACCATCAACTTGAGCTGCACATATTAACTAAGTCCTCAAAAACTGTAAATAGTGTCAAGCTATGTCTGAGGAGTATGATGTTCTTGTGCAGAATAGAACATGAAAAATTGTCCCACCTAATTCAACGTAAAATCTTGTCGGTTGTAAATAGATTTTTAAAGTAAAATGTTTACCTAATAATTCAATCGACAGGTATAAAGCCCAAGTAGTTGTTAAAAGATTCGATCAGCATTCTGGTATTAGTTATCATGATACATTCAGCCTGGTTGATTATCATGTTACATCAACGTCCTTGTTCTAAGTATTATAACAAAAAAAATACATTAATAAACTTAGTTAATAACTTTGTTCGTTCATGCGGAGGTATTAAGACTAAACAAACACAACCAAAGACTCTAAGATGTGAGTATTTAGATGTTTTATTGTACAAACAAAACCAAAGTGTTCTATTTTTAAGCACATATGTAGGTTGTTGGTAGATAAGGAAAACAACTGAATGAATAGCTTCCACCTAAAAACTCTGTGGGACACGAAAATCAAGTAAGGGATTACGGGCAATTCAACTATATTGGTGTTTTTATTCAACTACTTTGTTATATTCTAGAGTTTGCAGACAAGATAGTTGATGTAAAATTCTCTTTTCTTGAAAAAAATGGGTAAGTTGTGAATAACAAAATTCTCCCCCCAAATTCATACTGAAAAGTCTTAATGAGCTTGTCGAATTGTGTTTCAATCATATTGATAAAAGCTTTTATTATATTTATAAGATCATATTTAACACACAAGAAAAATACCTAAAGTAAAATGTATGTAATGATCAATAAACACTACAAAATATCTATAATCCAACCTAAGAAAAGATGGTGATGGTCCTCATAAATTAGTATGAACAAGATCAAAAGGTCCATCAACATTAGAAGAACTAGGAGAACAAAAGATAACTTTATAGTTTTACCAAGAGACCAACTTTCATAATTAAACTTCAAAAAATCACTATCAACATTTAAATAAATAGAAAGAACACTCAAGTCAAACATATCTTTAAGTCTACTTACATGAGGGTGTCCAAGGCATCGATGCCAAAGATATAACTTTTTTATTATCAGTATTATTCGAAGAAAAAAAACATAACAATAAAAAGAAGAAGACCCAAGATCTTAGACGATTGAGAAGATTGATTATCCAAGTTCAAGTGAAATAACCATCCTTGTTTATTTTCCTTCACAATCACCTTCCCATTGTGAATGTCTTGTACAAAACAACTAATAAAAGAAAAAATAACTGAACAATTTTGATCAACTAATTGACCAACAAAAATTAAGTTTGCAATTGAATTTGGGATATAAAGAGAATTAGAAAGTGGAAGAGATTTATTTAATGTAAATGTTCCTATGCCATTGATAGTAATTTTTTCTCTATTAGTAGCAATAACGAATTGATTTGGTGGATAAGGCTGAATTTTTGAAAAATTGTATTTATGGTTAGACATATGGTTAAAGACTGCAGAATTAAGTGTTGGGTTTTTTTAACAAATGGGCTTAATGTGGTCTTTACTATGCGTAATAAGCTATTGATTTATGAGCCAGTTTAAAAGTGATAAAATGGTTAAACAGTATTGGGTCTTAATGCATCGAGTTTAAATATGGGCTTGTAATGTGCAAATACTATTTTTGTAATATTCTCATTTTATGATGGACAAAATGGAAATTACAAAATTATGTCGATATAAATAGGCAGTTATGGTCTATGAATCATATGTTCTCCATTTTATTTTTCTGAAATTCCATCACAAGAAAAAACTAGTTTTTGAGGTATCGTGTTGATTCAGAAGATTCTATTGTCGGACGTGAACAATTCTTCCACGATGGATTTAGGTATGCAAAACTTACATTTCTCATTGATTTAATATGAGATTGCATGTGTAGATTTATAAATCTATTGATTCGAAAAGTGTTTTTTTTTTAATCTAATAATTGGTAACAGAGCATTTCTCGTATTAGATTTTTTATATTCAAGTTTTTTTTTTTTGTAATTTTTGTGATTTTGGATTTTGAGAAATATATATATGTATATATGTATATATATATTCAGGATTAGAAATATATATATATATAAATGGATTTCAAAAATAAAAAAATAAAGCAAAATATATATATATATATATTTCAAAAAAAATAAAGCATAAAATATACGTATATATATGTGTGTGTTTATGTAACATCATCGGGTTCGGGAATGATTAATTTTGAAATAGGAAAATTGATATTTTTTTATTACGTTAATGATAATAAAAATATTAATCATAATCAAAACAATACTA